GGGACCGTGGCAACTGTACCAAACTGGCTTTGCAAATGGATGATAAGAGTCTGAAGGCTTAATTACCAGTGACTAACGAGCTATACGTTAGGCTGTGTTTTCCCAGCACTAAGCCATATCTTTTTCATCTTTATGCCCCTCCTTCTTAGCACATAATAAGCGCTCACAATTGAATGGCAAGACTCACTTAACTCGAGAGGAGAGAACTTGGGGGGTGTCACAATAAGCAAAGCTGGAGCCTAGAGGCAGATTGGGGCTTGACCCTTGTAAAGGAGAAGGTGTTTTCTCAAACAAGTATGTGTCGACACAAGGGAAGTAAGACACTCCATTCATTTTCTTTTCTTTTCTTTTTTTTTTAAAGATTTTATTTATTTATTTGACAGAGAGAGACACAGCGAGAGAGGGAACACAAGCAGGGGGAGTGGTGAGCAGGGAGCCCGATGTGGGGCTCGATCCCAGGACCCTGGGATCATGACCTGAGCCGAAGGCAGACGCTTAATGACTGAGCCACCCAGGCGCCCTTCGTTCATTTTCAAAGACGATTGGGTTCCATTAAGTATCGATGCTGCACTTATCTTAAAATAGGTACCATTGTGCAGTTGTGGGGAAGGCCTCCAACCGCAGATGTCTTCACTGTATGTCCCAGTTGTCACAGGCCATCAGCTATTAGGGACAAGGTGAGTAGGAAGGGCTGCTTCCTGTTAGAGCAAAGCCATTTGAGAAGGAAGCCATGAGGCCAGGGCTTGACATAAATCACTCCCTATTTTGTCCCCCCAGGTTCTGCTTTTAGCTCACGAACCCATACAGTAGCAGCAACATGGGGCTCAAGGCACAAGGCCATAGATTACCTGTGAGCTCTGTGCTGGGGGCTTTAATGCCACATCATTGCCTCAGAGAAATGCAGAGCTCTCTCTCCTCTCACTATAATTAAGGTCAAAATGGTGTCTCTGACCCTTTGTACTCTTTAGTAATATTTTCACCCTGCCCCAGTTATATTACAAAATGAATTGCCCCAGACCGTACGAATCCCTGCTGGTATCGACCAAGCAAACTCTATGCTATTTATGTGTACCTGATGTAAGCCCGCATCATCAAGTATTTACGAAAGAACCGCTGACTCAAGAGCAGTGTGTGAGATGTTCTGAGATTTCAAAGAAAAGTCAGAGGCGGCCTGCCCCCAAGAGGTTTACCATCTATGGGAGCCGCGGTGCAGCGAAGAGGAAATGTAGCTATGTTGGCTGGTGCCAGTGTTGACAAAGAAATTGAGTAAACAAAACCGTTCTGATCTGGTGGTGATGCCATTCATCCCGACTGCTCTTCCGAGGGAAATGAGCTGAAGCAGTGTTGCAGAAGAGAGCCGGGAGACCCAGATTTCAGTACCAGCTCTGCCTTTAAGTCACGTGCACACAGGCATCTAGATTCCTCGAGTCCCACTTTCCTTATCTCGAGGGTGAGGTTGTTTGCCCCTTGTGGACTCCACAAGTACCAATCTGCAAACCGCCCCATCGCCATCTAAGACGTGCATGATTTAGGAAGTTCAGACCTAGAGAGACAGTTTAAAAGGGTCATTAGTTATTCTCTTTTTTTTATTTTTTATTTTTTTAAAGATTTTATTTATTTGACAGAGACACAGCGAGAGAGGGAACACAAGCAGGGGGAATGGGTGAGGGAGAAGGAGACTTCCCGCCGAACAGGGAGCCCGCTGCGGGACTCGATCCCAGGACCCTGGGACCATGACCTGAGCCGATGGCAGACGCTTAATGACTGAGCCACCAGGTCTTAGTGTTTTATTTTTTTATTATCATGTTCAGTTAGCCAGCATAATACATCACTAGTTTTTCATGTAGTGTTCAGTGATTCATTAGTTGCGTGTAACACCCAGTGCTCATCACATCACGTGCCCTCCTTAATGCCCATCACCCTGTCACCCTATCCCCCCAACCACCTCCCTTCTGTAACCCTCAGTTTGTTTCCCGGAGTCCAGAGTCTCTTATTCTCCTCTTAACTCACACACACACACACACACACAACACAAATGTGTTTGTCTTCCTCTCTTTACAGTATTAGAGGATTGATGCAAACCTGGCTTACATCCCAGCACGCCCAATTCTTTTTGCTTAGGCTCATTAATATATTAAAACAAGCCCTCCAGCTTCAGTACATTCCCAAATAGGGCTTATCTATAGCTTTTGCTTCACTTTCGTCAGTTATTGGTATTGTGCTCAACTCCCTGTACATTCCAACAAGAAGGCAAAGAAAAATGAAAGTAAAGGTCCCCCCTTTCCTTTTATTTTCTAGTATTCATATAGTGAACGTCTCTTATAATACAGCAGATTCCGGATCAAATAGTCTTGCCTGGACTAACTATAAGCAGGAAAACCCGATGGCCGAGAAATTTTTAATCCTCTAACCCCACTCCAGCATAATGCTTTAAAAAAAAAATTCAAATACTACTATAAGAAACCGGTTTTATAACTGTGCCCGCAGCGTGGTTTCAGGCATTCCTGATGGAAAGGAGGCTCGCTTTTCTCTCCGCGCCGTTTTCCACTCTTTGCAGAATTGCCCTGTGCCTGTGTAAGTTTCATTATAATAAAAATTAAAAAGGGGTACTGGCCAACATTTACTGTGCTTTTACTATGTGCCAGGGCTTTTATAGGCATTACCTCATTTAATCCTCCCACCAGCTCTAACAGATTTTAAGTTTCTTCAATTTATAGATGGAGAAACAGGGGATTAAAAACATATTCAAGGATATACATCCGTTGACCCAACTGATACTTCTTGGGAATAAAATTATATGATAGATAATAAAATGCTGCGAGAAGTTATATTACCATACAAAGGTGAGGCAGGAGTACCCTATCAATAAAGGAACAGGTTTATTAGGTAGCTGTTGGCCAGGCTTACAACAGTAAGTCATGCTAAAGTTTAGGCTCGGCTCCAGTCCCATACAATCCCCAGGTTTTTACTTGTTCATTCTCTAGCTTCCATTGCTCAACCATCCTGTTGAAGGATTTGATTGAGGCTGGAGGTGTTAAATGTGGGGGAGGTGTTGGCGATATGTGGCCAGTGACCTTGTTTACCAAAACTGGCCTCCCCTCTTCCCGGCGATCAGAAGATCAGTGGCGTGTTATCTGTGGTCTCTGTCCCTCTCACATCCACGGAAATAAGTGGGCCTTTAGGGCAAACAAAGCATATTGTGGAACATCCTCAAATGTCCAGGTGCACAGCTGGGCCAGCTGAGCCAGCCCGCAGAATTTTGAGGACTAAGAATCTAAAACCAACTCAGCAAGGGCCTGATGCTTTGCAACAGACCATCTCTTTTCAAATATCTGGCATATGGGAGTAAGCTTCAGAAGAACAGCAGTTATTTTAACAACAGATAGAAGTGTAACAAATGCTTTTTGTGCCTTTCAGATTGTGTTTTCATTTGGTTCAGGTTTCATATCGAGTTGAGACAATAATTAGGGGGCGTGGGCCTGTTTGTCCATACTATATATAGCAGATGGGATCTGCAGTGACAAGGTGTAATCATTCACACACAAACATGAACCTGAGAGCCACTCGGTGTTCATTTTGTGATGTTCTCCTCACCCTGACAGTAATTTTAGCCATACGATGACTACAGTCCTCTCTGGGAAGCTCCCATCTTGTGAACAGATTGGCTTTTGGGGATTTTTTTTTTTTTTCCAATCACTGTTTCTTCCGCAAACATTTATTAAGGACTTCCTATGTGCTGGATATTCTTCTAGGCATTGGAGATAGTGCCAAGAACAAACAAAGCCGTCACATCATCCATACTTAGAGTTTAGTCAGGGAAGGTGGCAATCACAAAATAAACAAGTAAATTATATAGTATGTTAGAAAGTGATGAGTACTTTGAGAAAATGAAGCCAGGAATGCTGGGAGCGGGGGGGTGGGAGTTGCAAGTTAAACAGAGTTCCTGAGAGAGGCCTCACTGAGAAGGTGACATTTGTGCAAAGACTTGATAGAGGTGAAGGAAGGCGATCTGGAGGCCAGCTGTTCCAAGCCGAGGGAACAGTACGTGCAAAGGCCCTGAGGCAAGAGTGTGCCAGACGTGATGGGGCGGAGCAAGGAGGCATGGTTGGAGCAGAGGGAACAAGGAGGACTGGAATAGCAGCTGATGTGCTCAGAAAAATAACAGGGGCCAGATCCGGAGGGCGTTGCAAACCATCCTAATGATTTGGCTTTTACTCTGTGAGATAAGGAGCCACTCCATGTGGTTTTAAACAGGAGCAAGAACTATCTGATTTCAGTTTCTTACAGAAATAATACTAATTGTGAGACAGGTTCCCAGAATAACCAGTCAAAGCCTGTTAAACCCAAGTTGCCATTGAACTAAGGATGCTAATCAGACTCTGGGAAGCTCAGAGCATGGGATCTGGACCCAGGAGGTGAGAATCTGACTCATAGCTCACTGGGGTAACTTGGTGCACGTCAAATCAATAGCTCGGAGAGAGAACTTCTCCCTGTCAGAGAAATAAGCAATACCCACCCCATGGCCTTATTTGGAGGATCAAGTGAAAATGGAACACAGAAACACTGTGTAGGTTGTAAAACACGATATGCAGGTCAGGAGGGGTGGTGAGAGCAACAGTGTTTGTGGTGGCGTCCTTATGACTCCTGGGAAAATCCAGTCCAGGGCTGAAGTCAAATGCCAGGAATGCAACCTTCCCTTTGCTAATCCTTCTTATTAAGGAGCCATAGGAACGGGTCCTCCTCCTTCTCCAGCACTAGAGATCAAGTAGAGAGACAAGGACCCAGCTGATCTCAACGGAAGGGGCCAGCTGGGCTCCCACGTGAGCAGTCCTAACTTCCAGGGGTCTGTAGACTGGGGCCTCCAGGGCTGGCGGGTGGAAGAATCAGGTCTCCCCTCCTGCGGGCCCCAGAAGCCTCCCCCACGCAGGCTGCCAGGCATTCGGCTCCCCTCAGGCGGGCAACTTCTCCAGGTAACCATAGCTCTCTGCTCCCTCCACCAGGCATTCCTCCTACGGACGGCTTTTGGATGATCATGACTATGGATCCTGGGGAAACTACAACAATCCTCTGTACGACGACTCCTAACGAAGGAACGTGGCCGGGACGAGGAAGAACTGTTGTTTATTTATAAAGTGCTTTCCCAGTAGAATTAATACAAGTACCTGATATGCATTGAGCGACAATCTCTTAAGCCCTGTTTCGTTGGTTTGGTTGTTTTGTTTTCCTCCCTCTCCTCTGGCTGCTATAACTTCCCCTTTCTGGTACAAAAAGAATCATTGTTTAAAGGTGAGTGGAGGCTTCCTTGCAGCTGAAATGGGCCAGCCTGGAGCCGGACCACCGTGGTGGAAGCTTCCGTACCCACCGCAGGATCCACTGTAAGAGGGACTGAGGGCCAGGGATCGAGTCGTTCTGTCGGGGGCTACTTTTAGGGGAATTTTTTGTTGGTGGTATTTCTCAAACTTTTTAGTTAGGAAATTACATTCAATCTCAATGAGGGGAAAGGAAATGAGTACTGGGAGGACTTCCCCCTGCAGGTGAGGGCGCAGGGGCTGCTCCGATTCCTTTTTAATCTCTGTTTGTATCTGCCAGAATGCCTGCTCGGCTCTGCGAGCGGGATCCCGGCTTCTTAACTGCCCAATTAGTGGAGGAGAAAACCAGAAGGTGCCCCGGGGAGGCCAGGAGGCCAAGGGACAGCTAGCATGTTGCTGTCAGATCGCAGCATGCCCTCTACCTGTTCTCCCCTCCAGGCCGCCCATCTCCGCTCTGCCCGGGATGCCCGTTCTGGTCAGCCGCAGCCGGCTGGCATCGGGCCCGCGGGCTCTCCGCAGGAGAAGTCTGGGAGAGGAGTTTAGTTAGAGAAGAGAAAGGGGGAGGTGTGGGAGGGAGCGAGCGCTGGGGCTGTGGAGGAGGCTGGGAGGGGAGGGCATGGAGGACCACCTGGGGGAAATGAGGAATCAGCCCCCAATAACTAAACGAGATATCCACTGCTCCGAGGAACCTCTAGAAAGAATCCTTGCTTTATACCCACAAAACAGCTAGCTCACTGCCTTACTGTCTGTTGGATAACGGCTGTAGACTGTTTTGTAAAAAACTGTAAAGGCATTAGTCTATCTGCAGTTGCTCAGTGAGGCATTTCCATAGGAAACAGACACCACGATTAATCCATTTATTCTTCCTGTACGCTTACCTTACTAATTCTGCCCTCTAATTAACGAACACTCCCAGGTACATGGTCTTCAAATCCTAGATCTCGAATTTTGAAAAAGAACTGCTATTGTTTGCAGATGGCCATTTACTGCAGTGGGTATCAACCGGCAGACAATTTTGCTCCCCAACGTGAGCCATTTAAAAATGTCTCGTGACATGGTTGAGTATCACAACCCCGGGGGTGCCACTAGTAGATAGAGGCCATGGACGCGCTGAACATCCTACAATGCACAAGACAGCCCACTACAACAAAGAATTGCCTGGCCCAAAATGTCGGTAGTGCTGAGTTTAAGAAACCCTGGTTTCTTGAAATGTCCCTTGTGACAAAACAAGACACTCCCAGCTTAGTAACATTTTTTATTTTTACCTAAATGAAGTGATTTGTTAAATTGTTACCTAAGAAGTATTCAGTTTGTTGGCTGATGGGTTGTTTTGGCATGTGTGGTTGCCTTTTTATTTCTGTGTGTTCTCTAGATAGCTTTATTTCGTAGCTAGAACTCTATCCTCCCGAAACACGTGATGTTAGTAACTGGCATCTTGTGTCCTGATTGGAGTAGGAAACTTCACGGATTAGGAAGCATCCATTGGGTCCTGATTCGGAATACGTTCTCTTGTCCTACAGTGTCCTACAGTGTCCTAAAGAACTTGAAACTGGATCAATTTTTATTTCTAAACTTGGACCTGCCGCCATGGCCGTTCCCAGAAATCTGACCCTCAGCTCAACCTATCACTGGCTGTGGTCCAGCAAAGTACTGACATGAAGACCACTGTTGCCATGCTATTCGGAGATGCTAGGAGCTGTGCCGCCCTCCACAGCCTGCCTTCCCACACTCTGAAGAGAAATTATTCCCAAACTCCTTACATATCAGAGGAGAATGAGCAAGCCCCAGAGGTACTTTACAACAGGACCAGGTAATGAGAAGTAGGCTGTCAGGAAATCCGATTAGCTCTGATTATTAAAAAACAAACAAACAAACAAAATGGACATTCTCAGAAAACTGGCCAGGGATGACCCATGGTGCCCCCTCCGGCTGTGCTGGGCCTGATTAATTGTTTCTCTTCCCTATCCTCCCCCCTTTATAAAGCCTGTAGGCCTTCAGTTTAGCAAAGGACAATTCAATAAAAACAGGACATCCCTTTATTTTCTCCCTTGGCCACAAACATTAACGAAATGTCCATGAAACACCTTTAGAGCGTTGCTCTTCTGGATGCTGCTCCCATTATGACACAGACTCAGTAAGCATCTTCCCTTACCAGAGTCTTCTGTTGTGCAAGAGCACCTGATGGGTTTGTTGCTCCTATTAACTTCCAAATCCTTATGGCAAAGAGAGGGATCTGGGCCTAAAGCAAATGTATTCAGCAAGGTGACAGCTTCCCATAAAAAAACTCTAACCCTCCTTGGGGAAGAATGAAGTGGGGGAAATCGGAGGGGGAGACGAACCATGAGAGACTATGGACTCTGAAAAACAAACTGAGGGTTCTAGAGGGGAGGGGGGTGGGGGGATGGGTTAGCCTGGTGATGAGTATTAAGGAGGGCACGTTCTGCGTGGAGCACTGGGTGTTATACGCAAACAATGAATCATGGAACACTACATCAAAAACTAATGATGCAATGTATGGTGACTAACATAACAATAAAAAAATTTAAAGGAAAAAAAATTTAAAAACAACAACAAAAAAACCTCTAACCCTCCTTGTTATGGCAGTATAAAATACCTCCAGGTTGAACCTTATTTTGCCAAGTACTTTTTTTCTGAGTTGGCCAAAGAATTTGAACTGTATTCAACACATGTTGCTTGACACACACACACACACACACACACACACACCTGAAATACATGCTGATAATTGATGTCAGGGAGATATTCTGTCCAGGTCTGCACAAGGGAAATTGCTCCAGTGGATCTAAAAAACAACCACATTTCATCCAGGAATAGGACTAGTCAAAAAGTGATAGACTGTCAGAGCAGGAAGGAGGCAAGCAGCCTCTTCTAGACCGTAGATTGCAAATGATGAAGAGTGGGATTCAACTTTGTTTTCTTTTCTCTTGGCCCCAGTGAAGTCTCCTGCCCTCCCTGGATGTCTGTCTTCATTTCTTAAATGAGGGTGATGCTTTCATATTGACCTCACCCCATGCTACCTCACAAACGTGTTGTGAGGATTCATGAAACGATGTCTACAGTGTTTTCAGTTTCTGGAGAAAAATATTTATAGACATCTTAAGTATTACATAGGTGTATAAGTGATCTCAGTTTCAGTTTCTTGTTTGTTGTTATACTGGTGTGTTGTTTTGACTTAAATCTCTAAAACAACAGCTGTTTCTTGGCCACATCAGGCAGCTGTCCCAGCTCTGAGCTACCCCCCAGTGCATCTGACTGCAGGGTGAACCATGCCTGGGACCAGGAGAATGGTTTCCATCTCCAAATGAAAAGATGTCCCAGGACCTAGGTCTCACAGACTATTGAGTTAGGATCCAGAAGGTTAGGGTAATACAGGAGGGATTACCTGAGCACTGACTGATAGAAGTAGGCCTCTGGCCTTCACCATCCTGAAGTCTTCTGAGTTCTTTGTGGAGTTGATTTTGGTTTGATGTTATCCGTTTGCCCTTCATCTTGCTTGCAAGGGTGCATGGTTCAATCCCTCGCGTATGGGAAATGAATTTTGCAACTGTGCCGTGTTGATTTGCACGTTTGATTCACCCTCTTTGCCTTTAACCTCTTTTTGGCAAACGAATGTATCATTTCAACTTCCATTTTAAAAGTGCTAGTTGGTACTGCTAATACTGCTAACCAAGAGACCAATGCCACATTGCTTTCTTGGGGTGAGTTAGCCAACATCATCTAACGATGGAAAGATGTGCAACTTCTTTGATATTTGATGTCATTGTATCTACACTTGTTGTAAGACATATTGCATACTAATTATATCGATTAAAGTTGTTAAAAGCTTGCATCTGACAGTGGTGACTCACATTTTGATATGTTTTGTTATTCAGGACATTCAGTTGATATGCCCCTATTAAGTAGCCTTGACTTGTTCTTGAAGAAAATTTATCCCCTATCAATAAATAATATTTTCTGCACAGCGGGAAGGTCTCTCTGATCTCGAAACAGAATTGAAGGGTGTCAGAAATGAAGAAACTTTCCAAGCCGTCATTTTGCTCTTAACAATACACCATGTCTTCTAAATTAACTGTAAAAATAAACACTTTGATTCAGTAAGTAGGCAGGGGTACAAAATCAAGTCATGTTAAGGTATATCAGCATTAGTGGTACATTTGATACCTGCTTGTTTCATTCTCCTTCAAAAAAATTGAGTTCATCATACCCATCCTGACAGTTGAAATACCAAGCAATTTCAATCATTCGGAACATAATATCAACCCTCAGGAGCTAACCAAAGATTATTCTGATTCAGAAGAAAAGAGCAACAATAAAACCCATGCATTTTGCAACACAGGAGAGGAATGGAAGCACCTGCAAGCTAGAGTGAGGTGATATGATGATTTGAAAACTTGAGGTCAGATTTAATAAGTTTAGGTGCCTGGTGTCCAGTGGCACAGCATGGAGGATTGACTGGAAAGAGTCAAGAGGAAGAAAGAGGACCAAACGTGAAACAGACCCTTTCCTGCTGATGATCCAGGCATCTCTGGAGGCCCTCCACGGGCACAAAAGCAAGTAGCAACTCCATTATTCCAAGCTTGCCTGAACACAGTCGGTCAGAAAGCACTTCAAATGTGCATGGAAAGAAAAGGCCTAAGGATAATGTGTAGTGTTTACCTATTACGAATTGGGTCCAAAACAATGTATTTTCCTACAGTGTAGCTTTTCCAAGTCAGATCATAGTATGTTTCAAGGATCTAGTAACCTCGCTGCTGT